TGATGGGATTAGAATCCAATTAATCCCCAGGGTCCAATAATCCATTTTCTAGAATACTTAAGGAAGTGGCCTGAGAAATAATAGATGCATTGGTGGTCATCTTTCTAGATTCTATTGACAATCCAACAGTTTATATGGAACCGAGAGTAACTATACTACCCCACCATTTAACAAAAATGGTAGAGGGAAGGCAGGGAATTATAGACTGGTTAGCCTGATATCAGGCATGACGAAATTGCTACAGTCCCTTATAAAAGATTTATTAACTGCGCACTTGGAAAACTGTAACAAGATTGGACAGAATCAGCATGGATTTCTGAAAGGGAAATCATGCTTGACAAATTTGCTGGAATTTTTTGAGGCAGCAACTACCAGATTTGATGAAGGGGGGAGCCTGGGGATGTAGAAAAGTTTAAGGAGGAAGTTCAATTTCAGGCCTTGGGTCCCAGGCAACTGAAGGAATGGTCCCCAACAATGGAGTTTGAAATACAAGATGCTCAAGAGCACAGAATTGGAGGAGTGCTGCTTGGAGGGTTGGTGCTGGGGGACATTACAGGGAGAGGGTGGCAGCAGACCATGGCAGTATTTTTAAACAAGGTGACAACTTTAAAATTTGAGCATTATTTATCTGGGGGTCAGTGTGGGTGAGTGAACACAAAGTTGATAGATGAACAGGATTTCATGCTAGTCAGGATGTAGGCAGCAGAGCTTTGGAATGACCTATGGTTTATGGCGGGTACAACGTGGGAGGCTGACCAGGTATACACTGGGATAGTCAAGTATAGTAGTAACAAAAGGTCAGTTGAGGCAGATTCAGGGTCAGTTGATTTTTTGACGTAGAAACAGGCAATCTTGTAAATGCCTGAATATGTGGTCGAAAGAAGATCTTGACACAGATTCCCAACAGTTTGGTTCAGCCTCTGACATTTGCCTGGGAGAGGGATGGACTGAGTGATGAGAGTACAGATTTTGTGGCAATGGATTCCAGCTTCCCAATATATAATTGCAGGAAACTTTGTCTCATCCTGTACTGGATGTCAGACAAGCAGTTGGACAATTTAGAGACAGTGGAATGACTAAGCAAAGTGGTGATAAGGTAGACCTGGGTACCATCTGCACACAGGTGGAAACTCAAGTGCTTTCAGATGATGTTGTCAATGTGCAGCCTGTAATTGAGAAAAAAAGAGGGAGTCATAGATAGGTCTTTGAGGCACAGTGTTTTGGTTGGAATTGAAAAACAACTGATGGTGATTCTATGGCTATAATTAAATGGATAAGAGTGGAATCAGTTAAGTCAGTCCAATTTAGCTCAACAACAGTTGAGGAGGGTGGTATCATCAAGCTTGTCAAAGGTTGCAGGCAGATCAAGAAGGAAAAAGGGGGAATAGTTATTCACAGAGAATATCATTCGTGACTTCGATTAACGTCATTTCATGATTGTGGTCGGATGGAAATCTGATTGGAGGGATTCAAACATGGAGTTCCTGGGAAGATGGGAATGAATTTGGAAGTGATGCTCAGGAAGGCCGTGATTCAATTCCTACCTGCTACTCAAGGACTTTCTCCTAGGAACGAAGAACAATATAGCACCAGAACAGGGCCTTTGGCCCTCCAAGCCTGTGTTGACACATTTTACCCTTCCATTCTAAAACTGTCTTCAATTACAGGATCCATATCCCTTTATTCCCTTCCTATTCATGTATTTATCCAGGTGCTTCCTGAACGCTGCTATCCTGTCTGCTTCACCCACCTCCTCTGGTAGCACACCTCCAGGCACTCACCACCCTTTGTGTGGAAAACCTGCCTTGCACATTTCTTTTAAACATTTTCTCCCCAACAACTTGAACCTGTGTCCCCTAGTAATTGACCCCTCAACCCTGGGAAAAGCTTCATACTTTCCACTCTATCCGTGCCATTTACAATCTTATAAACTTCTATCAGGTCGCCCCTCAACCTCCTGCATTCCAATGAAAACAAACTCAGTCTATCCAATCTTTCTTCATAGCTAAAATCCCCCATACCAGGCAACATCCTGGCAAACCTTTTCTGTACCCTCTCCAATGCATCCACATCCTTCTGGTAGTGACCAGAACTGTAAGCAATATTCCAACTGTGGCTTAACTAAAGTTCTATAAAGCTGCAGCATGACTTGCCTATCCTTATACTCAATGCCCCTTCCAACGAAGGCAAGCATGCTATAGGCCCTTTTTGACTACCTTATCTACTTGTGCTGCCACCTTCAGTCAGTAAAGGAATTGTGGGTAGATTTCGTCACCTCTTGCTCCTTTTACTGTGCTGTGCTACTTATGGGCAAATAGTGCAGATGTTTAGAAAACACAGGTTTTGTCTCCTGGCTAGAGAGCTAGTGAAAACTCTACATTGCTTCTTTTGTGGATGTTGCTTTGCATTACGTGTGAATCTAACACTTTACTCAGGAGTCGGCCTTCCCCAGGATCCAGGACACTGAAGTGGATGTCCTGCTTGATTGTTGACAGCCAAACAAGGCTGGTAGCTCCTCAATCCTTGACAGTGCAACTGGGATTGTGGTGGTTGCTGTTGGTAATGCATCTACCTGAGACCCAGGATCACTGATGGACCCAGGCCATAGGTGCGTGATGGCAGAGTGAAGGTTATGGGTCAAGGGAGCAGGAGGCTGACAGCAAGGACAGTATGCTGGCTCTCAGCACCGACTCCTTCCAGCAACTCCTGGAATTCTGGGAGATACCCAACAGGGCTTTTTGCATGGGAGACTCATGCCCACTCTGGGTTTGATGGAGACTTGAAAGGGAATTAAGTTCCATTGAAAGTGTGGTTGACGGGCTATCCACACCCTTTCCTGCCCAAATTTAGTCAGGGCAGAGGCAGGAAGATGGCAGTGCCCCACCAGGATCCTACTGCTCAACTAAATGCCCCCTGTCAAAGTCACAGCTTGTTGTATGAAAGCTATGAGATGTGGGAAAGTGTGGATCTGAAGAGAGGGGTACAGAACGTGTATGTAGAAGGCAAGGAGATGGAGTGTAAAACAGTGCAAATAATTGTAGGTGTGAGGGAAAGTTGAGGAGGGAATGTTGGATGGAATGGAACTAGAAGTGGTGCAAGTATTAGCTGATATAGGACTCTTACCTGGACAACATGTTGAACATCAGACAGTATCTTTCAGAATTACTGGCAGATACTGGGAACTAAGGCTCATGTATTCAGTTCTTCAGCCATCTTTTCTCGCCGTCTTCAGAGATTTTATCTGGAGGGTTTTGCACTGGGGGAATCATTAAAATTCCCCTCCTTCTGTTGACTGCCTGCACATAAAGCAGCACTCAGAGAATACTGGGTACCACTTTCTGCAGCTGTTGTAGCCATGTCAGCCAGGTTGCAATGGTTTCTGCAGCCAAAGTGCGTGTCCCATTTAACAGGTGGAAGCAGCCTTTAAGTAGCATCAATGGCAGTATCTTACTCCAAATAAACATCCATAATAAGCAACATGTGTATCACTGTCTCCATGCGTGATTTAATGTACCATAACTTCATGATGTCCCCGAGACCACACCAACAGGCATATTCAGTCACTTCCCATCACCAGCTTACAGCCTCGGTCAAATTTTGACGCCAAAATCATACTTCCGTATTTACTGTACTTCCCCTTCATGGCTTTTCCTTTATTGTGGTCATTCAACTGCCTTATCAAAATTTGGATATATTGCATAACAACAGCCCAAGTATAAAATACATTAATCCAAGATAAAATTGAATAAAGATTACATGCAAAATTCTTCTATAAAATTTCAAACTAATGTTTAGGACAATTTGTGATGGCCAATAATTATGAAATCCAACTGGATGTATCACTGAACCAATGTGAAGAGTTAAGTGGGGTGTATTTAGAAGCTGTAATGAAAGTTAAAATCCCAGATCAATTGTGCAGTCCATTGTTAATGGTGAAAATTCCCTTAGATTGCCATGTGAGCAATGAAGATCAAAATCAGGAACTGAGGGAAACACAAAAACTGTACCTAACCTTGTACTTGATATTTCACTTTAACTTGCAAGTTGTTGATAACTAACCTATAAAATAGTCCTAGTAATTTTCATAATAAAATTGTTCATTGCAGTTGCCTTTAACAAATCTGAACCCTGTCTTCTTGCATTTGTTCTGTTGCTGGGCTTCAGTACCATAGGAATCGCCTATGAGTCTGAAAGAGCTGATGCTAGTTTGGGTGCAGAAGACATCTTTGATTGTGATGATATCTTGAGGACTTGGTCAGTATAAAACAGGAGCTTCAGGATGCAAACCTGAGCCTGGTGTTCTCCTAACAATCTCTGTAGTATATACATCATTTTCATTTGATCTGTAAATACTTGCAGGAGTGCAATAAACTTTATCTTGTTTATTCAACAAGATACTTCCAGTTAGACCTGAAAGATGGCTATCTTCATCCATGCTCAATCACTTTGGACTTGAATAACTCATACACACAATACTTGTTGTCCTTCTATGCCTCTCCCCTACTCTATGAGCTTTTAAAACAAAGAGGCAAAGAGATGAGTTCATGTATAGTGGAGCCAGCACTATCCTGACCTTCCTAATATTAAATCACACTATAAATGTAATAAATGGCAAAGACAGTCAAGCTAACCTGAAATGGAATTGAACACTCGTGTTAAAATAATACATTGGATATTACATCTTATCTTAAAGTATCACTTTCCTTTGCCACCTTATAAGAGTCAACTTGTATTTTCAGAATTGATACTGGGTTAAACAAAATCTCCTCAGGAATTAAACTCATGCCAGTATAGTCAGACTGGTGGCAGAATCATAACTTTACCCTTTTGATAGCAGATGTATTTTATCTTATTCTATAGTTTCTTCAATGCCATTTACTGTGTTTGTACCAGATCTCGTTGAAATTCCTTACACCAAAAGATATGTACTGGATGCGCTCAAAAGCTAAGTTAAATGTTGGCGATGATAAAACCTGGTACAAATTAGTCATCCAACTTACCAGTTCTATGTGAGTTAGCTGTTGTGCCAGGGTATATGGATCATTGCAAATACTCAGTATATCTCTTTGAATGGATGGAGGTTTGGTTTTGATGATAACCAATTTATCGGACACACTAGCATTGAGCTTGACTGTGTTTTCTTCACCTTGATTTAGAGTCGCCAGTTTTTGGTTCAATGTTTGCAAAAGCTGATTCATTGTCTTCCAATAACTCTGGGGGAAAATAAAAAGAATCTGGCAGGTCACCACAGAGGAACTCAGAAAATGATTACACATCCTTTATTTGTACTTACAGTACATAAGACAAGTCCACAAGTGTTATACAGATGCAAAATACAGGGAACTGTGGATTCTGAAAACCTGAAATGAAAATAAAAGTGCTGGGAATGCACAGGTGTGGCGGCATCGGTGGAAAGAGAAAATGTTTCAGGTTGATGACCCTTTCTGATGAAAGATTGATGTGTTAGATGCAATTTAATGGCCTCTCTTGGAGCATATTTCGAGACTAGAAGGGCATTAATTAGTTGGGGTGATGGGGTACCTGAACCTTACTGCCATCAGGATTGTCAGGGATGGGTATGTCTGGGATCAAACCTCCCAACCTGCCATCAATTGAAGCCCATCAATGGACAAGTAATGACCACGAAGGTCCTCACTCCGTTGCTGCTGGTATTAACTCGGTGGTGGAGGGCCTGTCCACATGTGGCATGTCTGACATGTAGGAGTGTGTGTCCTGATTGTTGTCTCTCAGGGATGTTCCTCATTCAAAGGCACAAAGTGCCTTAATGAGGGATGTGACTTTAGGAACAGCGTGGGACCTGCTGAGAACCAGCATCATGCCCTTTCTGCTGGTGTCCCCTACCCTCTGTCTCCTAACCAGTACACCTCCCACCATTATTTACCTAAGGCCTGGGTCTTATGAACTCATCAATCCTGGGTCTCTAGTAGCTGTTGTTTGTGAACTCTTGGTGTGGCCATTCAAGAGAACTGCAAGCCTCTGCTTGGCCAGCAGTTCTCAATTGACCAGATGTCCAAGATTCTGGAGGTCCTGGATCCAGAAGAAGTCGGCCATTGGTTACATAAGTGTCTGGATGGCATATAATACCATCTGGCCTTACTAGAATAGATAATGTGGTTTCTCTCACTGGCTTTATAGCCAGCAGGCAAGACACTAACACCTCCATAAAATCAAATACATTTACTCTTGTTTCTTTCTACAGATATATTCAATGCTATGCTTGTTTCATTTCCAAAATAAATTGAACTTGCACTTAATTGCTCAATCTCATTGAGACTGTAATTAAAAGTAGGAAAGCTAACTGATTTCCCACTTCTTAAACCTGGAAACGTCATCTGAAATATAACTGTATATCATATTTGCATTGAAGTACCCTATAAACCTTCTACAGACCTTAGGTTATGTAAATATTTGCGTACATAAATGCATTCTGTAGATGTTGTATATGGGTCAGAAATGTTAATACTAGATTAAGTGCAGTATGCATAACGGTGTCATGGAGACTTTGTTAAACTACAGAAAGAGCTTTTTGTGGACAGACCTGAGACTAGTGTGCTCCTAACAGTCGTGGTGGTAATGCAGCTTATATTCTGTAATGTGTAAACGGTTGCAGTAATGTACTAAACTTCGTATTGTTTATTCAACATGATACTTATAGTTAGATGAGAAAGGTAACCTCATCCAGACAAGAACATTTTGGCTTGAAGGGACAACCCAACAACATGGTGACAGCTGTGGACCCTTGCCACAAATTAGTGAGCAGTGGCGACCAGCACTATTTCTAAAGAATGTCAACTAAGATAAATTAGAATGTAGACCCTTAAGAAAAACTAAGGGGAGGAAAAGCATGCTGGTGAGCCAGAAGACTTCAAGAGCAACTGCTGATTGTTGACAATAGTGAAGCCCACAAACCTCCTGACAACACTCAACTCAGAAGAATACGTCCGAGAATGACACAAGAAGTATTCCAGACCTGACAGAAAATGCACAACAGCAGAAGAAATCCTCCAAGTAGCTACAAGGAGAGCAGGTGAGCCAGCCAGACATTGAGAATTACAGAAGCTAAAATCAAAAACCTCATGTACAAAGGGGAAACTTTGAATAGTGCAGAAACTCAGGGTGAAAGGGCAGAAATTGTTTAAAAGGCTTTTGTACTTATTAGGAGGAATGCTAACTTTGTTTCTGCAAGACCCTTATTTCAGGTGTGAAAATAAGAAAACAATAAGTTAGCTGGATCTGGTAGACTGAAGACTGATTTAGACCATAATTATATTGCCACTGTCACATCAATGTAAAGGTATCATCCAACTTAAGAGAACAGCTTTGAAGAGGGATCCCAATTTGAATCTGGAACATACTGAAACTAACAATACATGACCAATGAGGGTTATATATCACTTTGATTTAGGGCAGGTGGAGTATAATTCCAGTGTGGTGTGGAAACAATTTTGGAAAGCTGGAATTCTTGTGTATGTTATCAACTTAGTGCAGAGACTTTTTAATATTATCTTATAACATTAAAAATGTATTGGCAAAGAACAAAGCTTTCTGCATTTAAATTAGCCTGCATACACAATGTAATTTCTTAGCGGACAGAATGAAAATTACACCTTGCAGTAAAAATACACATGATGTCATCTGTGACTTGCACTGTGTAACACCCTATCGCAAACTCAAAGTACAGTGTTAAAAATTCAATCTCGTCTTGACCGCTGCTTCATATTAAATAGGTGACTCCAGGATTGATATTCAGCACTGATAGAAAGGAAGATATTGATTTATGAATTCAATGCATATGGCAGCAGAATCGTAAACATCTAGCTTTGAAATATAATACAGCAGATCTATAGCACATTGCCAGGTAAGGGAGTAAAGTTAGATTGGTTTGAACGTTCCATTAGGTTTTGAGCTACTTATTGCTTTTATTCTCAATCTTCATCAATCTTTAAATTAATATCTAATTATTTTCACATTGGAAATGCTTGATCTTGGTGCAATCATGATAACAGTTGCAGGAGAATGATCGTGTATTCTTTATATCTGGGACATTTATTTACGGTAATGTTGTTCTATTAGTCATTAGTCAAATAATTTATGAAAATAAATAAAGTAATTAGGATGCATTTATCCTTAATACATAATTAAAATATTGTCTGACAATCATTTTCCGTTTATATTAGTTTTTTATAGATAACTCAGTAGTGTTAATAATTTAACAGATTATTGCTAAGAGGAAAAATTCAAAAATTATTTTAGTAATTTGTTGGAGATTTTCAATTATGTTTATAATGGACTTTATATCAAAGGGTTTTCTACATAATTAAAAGATAAACGAAAACTAATAGGAGGTTAAACCAACGAACATCAAAATATAGGAATCACCGAATTTAGTACATGCAAAACAAGCATACATGCTGAAACTTTAATGTTGAGATTTCATTATTTATGAAACTCACCTCATCACAGGGCGCTATCCTGTGGATCATGTCCTTTAGATGTGCAATCATTCTGTCATCCCGAAAATCGGATGGGAAAGTTTCTGTCCATTCTGTCAGCAGCTGCATTATCTTAGGTCCAAATTTTTTAATTCGTGCCTAAAGACCAGCAAAAATGATATAATTATAACTGAGATAAAACTGCTACAACTATAGAGCTCAAACATCTAAATGTCTTTATTGCTAATGTAAGGCCCAGGATGATATGTTATAACAATGTCTAGACCAATACTTTAATAGTTGTAAAGTGCTTTGAGATGGCCAGTAGTTATGAAAAGTACTTATCTGAGGAAACTTTATTTCACCCAGAAAGGGATAGAAACATGGAACGTGCTGCCTGAGAAGGTGGGAGAGGCAAGTACTTGCAATATTTAAGAAGCATCTGGATGAGTATTTAAAATGCCAGGACATAGTAAGCTATGGACCAAGTGCAGATAAATGGGACTAGTGGAGTTTGGTGTTTGTCAGTCAGCATAGATATGGTCGGCTGAAGGGCCTGTTTCTATACTGAATGACTCTCTAATCCATGCATGAGTCTTTCCTTTTTTCCTTTCATCCTGTTACCTTCACTACTTAAATAAGCTTAGAACGTCAGCCTCACTAAAGTTTCTCCAAGGGGTTCCCAACAGCATTTCACTTAGAATCATAGAATCATACAACACTGAAACAGACCCTTCAGTCTAACTCATCTGTGCCGACCAGACACCCCAATCTAACCTAGTCCCATTTGCCAGTATTTGACCCATATCCCTCTAAACCCTTCCTATTCATATACCCATCCAGACGCCTTTTAAATGTTGTAACTGTATCCACTTCCACCACTTCCTGTGGCAGTTCATTCCATACACACATCATTCTCTGCTCGAAAAAGTTACCCCTCAGGTCCTTTTGAAATCTTTCCCTTCTCACCTTAAACCTATGTTCTCTAGTGTTGGACTCCCCCACCCTAGGAAAAGACCTTGGCTATTCACCCTATCCATGCCCCTCATGATTTTATAAAACTCTATAAGGGCACCCCTCAATCTCCATGCTCCAGAGATAAAAAGCCCCAGCCTATTTAGCCTCTCCTTATAACTCAAACCCTCCAGTCCCAGCAGGACCTTGTACATCTTTTCTGCACTCTCTCATATTTAACATCATTCTGAACAGTGACCAGAATTGTATGCAGTATTCTAAAAGTGGCCTCATTAAAGTCCTATACAGACGCAACATGACATCCCAACTCCTACACTCAATGTACTGACCAAGGACAGCAAGCAAGCCAAATACCTTCTTCACTATGCTGTCTACCTGCTGCTCCACTTTCAAGGAATTATCCACCTGCATCCCTAGGTCTCTTCGTTCAACAACACTCCCCAGGACCCTACCATTAACTGTAGGAGTCCTGCCTTGGATTGCCCTATCGAAATGCAACACCTCAATGTATCCAAATTAAACTCCATCTGCCACTCCTTGGCCCATTGGCCCATCTGATCGAGGTCCTGTTGTAGTCTGAGATAATCATCTTCACTGTCCATTACACCGCCTGAACATTTGAAGTGAGACTCAGAGGGACAACTGAAGCGGTTTATAGGGCTAGATGGTTTGGAGGAATTGGAAATATTTTTAGCTTCTAATAAAGTGATATACCAATGCAGAACAGCAAATCTATTTTACTTAATTTGATTTCCATTTCTTCTTTGAGAATTCTAACCTTTTCTGGCTTCAAAATCAATACATAGTTGAACTACTATTTCAAAGAATATGAATGTTGAAAGAAATTCAAAGTGATGTTTACAGAATTGAACTTGAAAGGGATCTGTCACAATTATATTTGAGTATCTCTGAAAAGATACATTTTGTGAATATAATTATATTCAGTATCTGCAACAGAAATTGTCACGTTCTGAGATAATGGATTTTTGTGTTGGGGTAGGAAATCCAATGCCAATGGCATTTGGGCATTGGATCCCCACATTCTGTCAGTGTCAAATGCCCAATATGATTTCAGTAGGGTCTGACCAATTAGTGTTTAGTGAGGATGGGGGATTGGCTCCTAGTGCCAGAAGACTGATCGCAATCTACTCTAAGGCCAATGTCTGGCTGATGTATGTAAGAGAGACTGGGTGCCTCCATCCCCAATGAAAATTTTTTTACAAAGTCACGTTAATAAGACCATGGTTTCCAGGTCATCATTGTGAGGAGCAAACTTTCTGCTGAACAGCCAATGGCTGTAGCTGTGATATGAATACTAGGTTAGGTATGAGGGACATAAATAAATAATGGCTGGCCTCGCCTCCTGCACCCACGTCTGCTGCTGAGAAACTGCTGCCAACCTTAAGCTTTGTCTCAGCCTCAGTGAGAGAAAATTTCAGTTGGTCTCTGCTAAGTTGCCTCAGTAGGCCATTTAATTAGCCTGAAACACTATGGGCTGCTGTGGGTGAATTGTAATCAATACTATGCTACTGGACTATAAAAGGACCAGAGGGAAGAACATGCTGGCAAGCCATCATGCTAAATCTCAATGTAAATTTTTGGTCTTTTCCACTTCCAATTCACCTCTGTTTGGAATTGAATAGTTGGCCCATTTGTCACTTCTCCCATTTACTGGTACTTCTTTTTTTGAATCACGTTCCTCTGGTAGCAGAACTGGCTACTTGTTAATACGGCAAATATTAAGCAATGGAGTATCCTGTCTAAATAATAATGATAGAAAGTATTTTGTGACACAGTGATTTTAATATACTGATAGTTGAACAAATGCTTCAGTATCTCCAGTTACTGCTAATGGAGTATATGGCAGCAACAAAATGGATGGGGATTCACAGTAACATATTTACAGTCAACCTCCAACACTATCTGCCCCATTAAAGTTGAAAAGAGCAAGCAAATCTAACCTCACATAGACTGCAAGAGCTGATAGCCTCTTACATTTGGAATTCTGGAATTAAATTTGATTGACACTGCAAACCTTTAGTTAAGCTTCTTTATGGCACGACTGTTGGGTGGATACTTTTATCAGCAGGAGTGCCCTCAACAATGGTTTAGAGTGGGCTTTGGCCCCACTGTGACTCATTTTTCTTGGTTCATCAATTGTGTACCAAAAATGTTCCTATCACTCAAGGGGTGGCATGGTGGCTCAGTGGTTAGCACTGCTGCCTCACAGCACCAGGGACCCGGGTTTGATTCCAGCCTTGGGCAACTGTCTGTGTGGAGTGTGCACATCCTCTGTGTGGCATTCCTCTGGGTGCTCTGGTTTCCTCCCACAGGCTGAAGTTGACATTAGATATTAGGGTAAATTTCACAAAATCACAGTGCTAGCAGGTGAAGCTGCATGGATCCACACATCTGCAAAATTGACCTCACCATTTGTATATCGACAGAGTAATTTGTTTTTGTACTGATGGACGTCATGGTTTGGACTAATGGGGCTTATATTAGAATTGGATTGTAATTGATGATACCCTACTGCTTTGAGAAATTAAGAGTGTCAAAGAAGTTTAGTTGCCTGGGTATCTGTTGTTGCTGCTCAGTGCCAAATTCTTTGTGTTAGTCAACACAGAGGATGCATCACTGCGCTGAGAAATGGATCCTGTCAAATAACTTATGACAGGTTTGGAATGACCCCAGGACATATTAATTCATGTTGTACTCATTTAAGAGTGACAGACATAGCTGTGCAGAATACTTCTATAGCTCAGTTTCGATGTGATGATGAGTAACCACATTTCTGGTTAACTGCATGTCATGTGTGGAAGTCTGCTCTGAGGTCACATTCAGAAGTAAGTGTTTCCAAGGTGTTAGACGTGCCCATATCAATGTCTGAAGCCAGAGATTGTCAATTTGTACATGGTCGGCAATCTCTTAGCTCCCTAGCCTCTATATATTTGTAGTGCAATTTTACTTGCAAAGATCATATCATTTTAATTTCTGTACTTTTGCTTCTGAACTAAATTTGAAAATAGGACTATTTTAAAATTGAAAGATTGTGGAAGAAACTGCTGCACTTCTAAAAACAAGCTACTAAAACTCATTGTGTGCTGTGTTTACACTGCTGCTTTGTTCAAGTGGTGGGGAAAGATCTTTAACCAGCATAGTCCCTGTATGGATTGGGAGGGTGGGGGTGCTGTATAGTGAGATTTGAACGGCAACAAGAAGTTGATTAGATTGTTCAATAGTAACCAGTTGTAGATACTGAAGAACATCAGCTTTATTTCGGATTGGTTCCTGGATAGCTGAAGGCTACAGTGATTCTTTAACATATAATACCAGTTCCACATAAATGAGAAGGTTGACTAACATTGGTGATTCAATTGTTCCCAGTGTGAATAATAGTGTGAGAAGCCTTTGGGCTGCAGGAGGGGAAGGTAGTGTGTCTGTCTCACTCTGCAGTAAAAAAATAACTGGAGCCAAACCTGAAGAAAGCCAGTTTTATTTTACTCCCACCAGTTCTTTAAGCTGTTGCCTTTGACCAGCAACTAAAAGACTTTGTAGCTATTTCACTAATTGTCCTGTACCTCCTGCAAAGAAATGAAATGAACCTGGCAAAAAGAGATGGACGAACAGAAGCAAAAGGCTCAGCCCAGCGAACCCTGTGGATGTTGTTATTGAACTGTGGTTCCTAGTTTTTTTCCGCTTCACCCATAAAAACCATTTTTATTCATTTTCTTGTCCTATCTGTGTATGTGTGTAGGGATATAAAGCTTAACTAGTAGAGCCATGTGTTGATAGTTCATAGCTGTTTACCTGTGACTAGAATTTAGATATCTGTAACAAACAGTAGATCTTGTTATATACGGGAATCTAGCCAATGGTTTCTGTTCATTCAGTTTGAACAGACAGGTAAACCAGGGACTTTGCATGATTTGATTTGATTTGGTCATTAACTTCTGGGGTCACCCTGGGCGTAGGAAGCTTGGAGAATCAGTGCACTTTCCAAACTGAGTTGTTACATTTTCCACATGTAATCCTCTGTTTCTTTTATTTTAAAATAAGGACATCTCTCCAGGAATTACTTTGGGTATTTTATTAAATCAACCTATTCAGACATGTTGTGAGAGGTCTGGAGCAGGTTGGAATTAAACATGAACCTCTGGCCTAGAAGAAAGGAGACTACCACT